CATGGATGATGGACAAACCTCATGATTTCACACGGCTTGTGAAAGACATGAGCGGTGGACGTCTTGGGGAAAATAATGGCAATGACACCCATGGTAATTACATTGTTAGATCCTTTTGCATTTGTATCTAGACCGGAAACGAAGGAGATGCCTAATTCTGATCAGATTTCCGTGGGATTCGTTTCTCCAAATTCCTCTATGAAAGCTGTAAGAACACTAAATTGTATGAAGCGTTGGACATCCCTCATCCCTCGTTATTCCTTCACACCGACCTCCCGCAATTGTTTCAGATCCCCCCAAGCTCATGATAGAGAACTTGCTAAGTGGCCCCCTTTACAGGTAGATATAGGTAGTATTGGCCCTCTCCAAAATAATCTTCCAGTGTTTGGCCCAGGGGGTTCAGTTGTAGAGCGGGGGTTGCTGTTAAGTGATTAGACATGATCATGAACCATCAGGAATGCGTAAAACATCATGCCTGCTCATGCTGTTCATAGTCATGATGATGCTGCTGCTGCTGCTGCTGGTGGCGGCGGCGGTGGTGGCGGTGGCGGCGGTGGCGGCGGTGGTGGCGGCGGCGGCAGTGGTGATGATGGTGGCAATGACCATGATGATGATGGTCATGGTGACAAGGAGGATGCGTTCGAGATCGCGCGACAATCATAGTATCGTGTCCGGATGCTGCATTCACGGGACTTTCTAGGAAGCTTTCCATCTTGCCCATGCCATGCCCCCCGATCCTTGATGGAATCCAATTAATTTGATGTACTGTAGTTGCCAGGCTTCCAAAATGTTCACATGCCTGCAAATGCGAGATTGAGCTCATCGAGCTGACCAGCTTAAGTGACCATCCACAGGCGAACCACGCGTCCTTGACATAACATAGCTTCTGACATCGCTTCTTCCAGCTGACTCTTCCCACTACTAATTCAGTGTTTAAATCTACTCTGCAATCCTTTCATCAGATTGTCCGAAGACGCCCGTGGAGAGCAGAGGAGGGTGCGCTCAAATCTTCTTGGCGCTGTCTGCATTGATTGGCAGCAAGCCCTTGAAATCCTGGGCCCCGCCCCCCAGCTATATACATGTACGCATTGTGACAACTCCCAACTAATCAGATAAACATAAATAAACGCTATGATGGTTTGGGGTATGGGTGCACTCATGTTACCAGCAACCGGATGCGCTCGGGGTATGGACGCACTCAGAACTGGATGCGCTCGAACCCGAAGATCGTTCAAAGTGAGGTTTTTGCCCGAGGCCGCTAAAGCCGGCGCGAGCAAGAACAGGCTGAACCAGGCTTCGGTACACAAACAGCTCCAACGCTTGGCATGACTGGACTCCGCCAAGTAGCCACGGTGGGAGCCTTGGGTGGCCGTAACAAGGCGTCCGTGCGGATTCGGCATGTGTCGAAAGCTAGGAACCTCTCTTGATCTTCAGCTTTGGCATGCCAAGCAGAGGACATCGTGGCGGTAGGAACATAGTTACATAGGGCTAGGCTTGCGCGCGCTCACCATCAAGGTTGACTAAAAGGTTCGTAAGCGCAGCTTTTCTGATTTCAGATGCCATGGACGCTGCATAGAGCAGAAAAGATCAGAGGCATGCCAGCGACAACTGCTAAGACGTGTGGAAATGCCGTTCCAAGTTTCCGAGTCAAGCTTAAGCCCAAGTGCTGCGCTCAACTCTGATGGATGCACATGCAGCTCGTGTGCAAATTGAACTCAATGTCCCTCTGATCTCGAACTCTGCAAGAAGCCTTGACCTTGCATCTTGGATCTCGCACTTTCAACGCCACGACTTCAGTTCATGTTTCCGCTTTCTGCAAGACATGGGATGTCGTGAACTGGGAAAAATTACAGAATGACGATAATGGACAATCTCTCCTCCCATGGCTCCTACATTATTGTAAGTCCTGCCTCCATCAATCTGACCTCCCTGTGCAGAGAGGCGAAGATCATTCTGCGCATTCTGCGCATTCTGCGCTGTTGGAATCAAAGGCGCGGCGGCTCAAAGATGACCTTTGACGCAGCGAGGACGGGCAAGTTAATGCCCTTGCGGTTTGCAAAGTTCTTCAGCTGGTCCTCGGATCGAGTTGAGATCGAGATTTGAAAAGGGGCGCGAGTCTCTTTGGAGAATTCGTCATGCCCTTGGACAATGCGCAGGGTTCCCCAGCTGTGTGATATTGATTTCTAATCATGAGCTTGACAAAGCCAGTTGTATCATGACTATCCAGGCACAAAGGTATATAGTCGACAATCAACAACCGCCGTCCTTCGATAAAGAGCTCGAAACCTGTCCCTTGCAAACAAATTGAGGGGCAATTTGAGCTAAAGTCTAAACATGTCTAAACTCCTACTAGAATACCCCTCTCGTAGTCCGCCATATAATGCCTTATATAACACCCCTTTAAGGAGTTTAGACTATAGCTCATTTCATTTCCACTGTACGTTCTATTAACCGCGGCTACACCGCAGCCTCAGAAACTAATGAAAGCCTTGTCAGAATTGTAAAGACCAGGAAAAGGAACATCCCAAATTCTGATTTGATTCCATATGAGCTCCCGTTGTTCATCAGGTTTTCGTTAGACTCCTTTACATTAGTATTTAATCAGACCGGAAAGCCAGGAGATGTCTAGCTCTAATTGGATTTCCCTTGGATTGGTTTATACCAATTCCTCTATAAAAGCTGTAAGAGCACTAAATTCTAACAAACGAAGGAGATCCCTCATCCCCCATTATTCCCCGTTAGTTCATGATAGAGCACGTGCTAATTGGCCCCATTTATAGGTGGATATAGGTAGTCTTGGCCCTCGCCAGAATTCCAAAATAATCTTCCAGTATTTGGGTTCGCGGGTCTGGGGGGTTCTACTTGCAAAGCGGGGGGTGCTGTTACGTGATTAGACATGATCATCAACCATCAGCAATGCGTGAAATATCTTGCGCGCGAATGCTGTTCGCAGTCATGATGATGATGATGATGTTGATGATGATGGTGATGATGATCAGGCGATGATGATGAGGTGATGATGGTGATGATGTTGACCATGATGATTGTGATGATAATGGCAATGGTTGTGATGGTGATATGGTGATGGTGGTGGTGATGATGATGATGATGATGATGGTGGCATGGGGGATGCGTTCTAGACCTTGCGTCGATCACAGTATCATGTCCGGATGCGTCAAGCATTCACGAGATTTTCTAGGAAGCTTTCTATCTCGCCCATATCCCCCGATCCTTGATGGGATCCAGAATAAATTGATGTTTTGCCAGGCTTCCACGGTGTTCACATGCATTCTCATGCAAGCTGAGGCTAATCGAGCTGACCAGCTTTAGTGACATCATGCAGTCGCGCAGCTCTATCGGCCGGCTTGTAGCCATGCTCCCGGAGGTATGCCCGGTACATCTCCTGTTCACATTAAGCCAGGGCGATGGGGCGATGGGCGAGTCATGTTCCGCAAGACCTGGAAATTTCGGCCTCCGCGAGCCCTGCGCTCTGCTGGGAGCGGGCCTTCACCTGCCATCTCAACTGCCCTGCACAAATCCTTGCGTCAGCGTGTCTACGCAAAACCTTGCCCAGCGGAGTGCAAAAACTACAGCCTGGAGGGCACAACTTGGTTGTTGGAAAAATTTGCCTGAAAAACCTTGAATATGCATCTACTATCATCTACCCCTGTTTGCTCGGCACCTTGGGATCCGCCAGTGCAGGATGCGAAGGTTCCGCACCACCAGCCTCCTGGTGCGGATCCGCACGTCTAAACAGATCCTTCAACAGATCCCCTCGCCTTTGGACGTGGACTCGGCGGCACCTGTCAGAGGCACTCAGCGACAAGCAAACAAGGCATACAGCTATTGGCCCCAGGCAGACCCAAGCCCGCACCTCACTTTCTGCACTGGGGCCGTCAGGCAGGCGGTCCAGACGCTGGTAGTGCTCCGCAAACATCATTTCAACCTTCCTCGCAACCTCGCAGGGATCCGAGGGCCCCTCCGTGCCATGGAAGACTAAGCATCGTACCCACCTTCGGGTACTGTCGCATAAGCTCATTGACGAACTTTTCGTCTTTGTTAAACTGTGTCCAAGAGAACCTGCACTTGCCAATTTTGCACAACGCCTACATGCGCTATAGCAACGCAACCAAGACGGTTTGGATGATCATCTTCAGGGACGCAGGAGGCAAAAGCTTTTGCCATCTGCACGTGAGATATATAGTCTTCCCCTTAATAAGCCCTGTAAATCCTATAATGGGAGCCCTCTCCAATCTCCTATCTAACCCCTTTTAAGGAGTTTAGACTACAGCTCATGTGGCTTGGACTCGGCGCCCTGGCTCGCGCGGGCCTCTCGCTGGACGACGGAGCTGAAATCGAATCAGGATAATCCTGACGGTCCAAATCCCGAATGGCCCACATGATTCACTCGAGAAAATGCCACTTGACGCCAACCCTCGGGACTCTTTCTTCCGTGCCTGGTGGAGTGGAAAATCAAGAGCCTGGAGGGCACAACTTTTTTGAAAATACCTGAAAGACCTCTACACCTATTTGCACGGCACCTTGGGATCCGCCAGTGCAGGATGTAAAGGTTGCGCGGCCCGAGCCTCCAGGCACCGATCCACATGTCTAAAGAATTCTAAGCCCATCAACTACTTGCCCATAGCTTCCAAAGACATTGTGCCAAAAATGGAAATGAAATGGAAACTGGGTTTATATAGTGGATGATAAAGGGTTTAGGAGCCCTTATCGTTGGCTGTGTTTGGGACACGCACAGCATGTGTGCCCTTGAGAGCCCTTGCATCTTGGTAAGCCCCACGCTCAAGACCGCAAGTCCCGAACCAGGGTTGCTTTTTCCTTGTCGTATCAATCTATCAATCTTTCAGCGAAGGAGAGAAGAATGGTGAGGACTACCTTTGAACCTTGAACCCTAAACCCTCAACCCTGAAACCTGGGGCTATGAGGGCTTCGGGCCTCCGCCGTTTCGAACAGCAAATTCAGCCGGGCTTGGCGTTCCGCGGCTTGGCGCTGTTGCCGTTGCCGGAGCTCCTCTGAAGCTTGGAGCTGAGAGGTCAGAGAGCAGCTTTCCCAAAAGGGTTTAGTAGGGCTTAGGGTTTAATAGGGATAATGGAAAAGAAAATGGAAACCACTATAACGGAGTTTGGCCTAGGGTTTAGGATTAATGAGGTTCAAGTGATTAGGGTATATAAAGATATTGGTCGTGCGTCGATCCGCCGAATTGTCCGTATATCAGTTTATTGATTTGATGATCTATTCGTCGTTGAATCTATGGATCTCATATCCGCCTTCGGGACCGTCACCACAGGTTGCGCAGCAGCAGCTTCCTGGTCCAGAGCGGGACT